TCAATCCCTCGCTCGCACTTTTCTGCTGTTTGTTTGCTTTTTCCTCTCTCATTCGGAGCGTCAGTGATCGATTCACGAAAAAGACACCATCATTTTTTATGGCAGCCCTATAATTACGTTGAGACCCCCTCCTTTCCTCTTGCTCACCTCGTTCTATTTCTCTCTCTCTCTCTCTCTCTCTCTCTCTCTCTCTCTCTCTCTTTCTCTGCCCATCCCAAAATTCGTACTTGTGGATATGTGGACTTGTTTGTGCATTTATGTGCTTTATGGTAAGTCGTCGTGTGTTTCCTGTTTCTGAAACATGCACATAAACACTCTCATTCCCAAATACCACGCTGATGCAGTGGCAGAGAGAGAGAAGAGACAGATAGATCAGCCAAGAAAATAAAAGGAAACATGATTTGACCAGTGCGCCCAAACTTATATATATATATATATATATTCAACAATATACAGAATATGGATGGAAGACGTACAAGATGTCTATCTATATGTGCAGGTATAGATTTGCTAGAAGTTACAGTAAGATCGGAGTGAATGTGTTTGAGGTGTGGATTGTCTGTGAGGTGTAGTGACATGGAATCTATCTATCTATCTATCTATCTATCTATCTATCTATCTATCTATCTATCTTATTTCTTTGCTTATGCTCCAAGTATTCCATTCTTTCCTCCCTGTCAACTTTTTCAATTTTGACAGCTTTTTTCTCTTTCCCCTCACCCACCACTTTGCACTCTTTGCACTCTTTCACCAATGTTTTTGCACTCTCCCTCATACATACATGTACACACATGCATTTATTGGTATTTCTTTCCTTTTATTCCACAAATTCTGTTCTTTCCTCCCTGTCCCCTTTTTCAACTTTGGCTATATGTGCTTATGAACCCCCCCCCCTCCCAGTCCTCCTCCTCCTCCTCCTCCTCCTGTTTTTCCTACAGCCGTTAGTCTTTGACTAATGTTGGTGCGCTGCAGCCTGCTGGTGCAGAGACACCTCCTCTCACATGTGACCGATGATTATGCTCTGTTTATGGGAACTATTGTGTTGTGAAATTAAAACAGCCCCAGCGTAGCGTGCTTTACAAGAACAGATGAGCGAGGGAGAAAAGGCTGTTCGTTCCGACTCTATATAAACATATGGCATCAAGTCTGTTCGGATACACTGACTGTAACTTTCTCTCCCCAATTGAAATTAGGCTGCATTACAGGCAGTAATTACAATACACTGATTCATATGTCATACGTTATGGTAATTACGGTCTATTGAGTGCCACCCCTTTATTTTCACATCCACTTCCTCTGTTTCTTTCTCTCCATTTTTGTACTCTCTCACATATACTTATACATACTGTTGAATGCTTAGAAGTTGTTGTAATAATAAAAGCATGGTGTAGTTTTCTATTATTTATTTCTCAGTTATAGATCATTGGAACAAGTGGAGAATTATGTTGAAATGATTCTAAACTTTATACTGATACCACATTTATTTTGATATGTAGAAGAGATGTTTAATTATTATTTGAAATTACTGAAAAGTTATAATTGTGTGTATCATGAATTATTTTCTTTTTTTTTTCTTTCTGCTTTGTATAGAGGAGCATTCTGCGCCCTGGTTTGTATGTCCCTTGCTTTATTAAAATTAAAGAGTTTGAAGAAGTATGTAAACATTGTTAAAGTTTCAAAACATACCACTCGCTCCCCACTCAGTCTATAAATGGAACTAAGCTGCCAAAACAGCCTATTTTAAATTCCTTAAGTTGGCTTGACAAACTAATCTTCGTTTTATTCTGTGCTTTTTTTTGGACCGTATTCACAGTTCGCAATTTTTGAGCTAGAACCACAAAATTGCAGGACAGTAGAGGCTATAGAGCATTATACAGTATATATAAATACAATTTTATATATATATATATATATATATATAGCTAAAGGTTACACATTCCCGCTTGGTTTTTCACATGGCTAACAAACAGAAGCTGCAGACAGAGTTGTCTCTGTGTCCCCCCACACTGTCTGCTCTCACACCCACTTGCATTCAAGATGCTTCGCATAGAGGCAAATGGTCTCACTCCATCACTCCCACTTCCTGTTTGGCCAGCACGGGTAGCATCCACGTGGGGCTTGGCTGTCTTGTCATTTGATGAGGATTGCCTTCTGGGGGATGCAGTTCAAATGTTTCATCCACAAGGAGAAAAGTAGACAGCGACATGTTTTTTTGAAGGTTGTGTGAGTGGTTGTGACCGAAAATGGGATCATATTTGGTTATTTTCACACACCCTGGCTAGGAATGTACTGATCTGGAATTTCTAGGCTGAAAATTACATCCTTTGGCAGGTAATAATGCCAGCAGTTTGCATTTTTTCATGTTTTAAAGTTCACACTATAATCCATATATAAAGTACAGTGAGCATAAGGTTAAAAACCATTTATTAATTTTACAAAGACATGGCTAAATCAGACATGACACTTATTATAAACACATCATTTTATGTGAATGTTTTACTATATTTAGCAAAGTGTGCATGAGCAAACATTAGGACTGCAATTCTAGTACATTATTAAAAATGAAAGTCAGCTCAACTTTAAATTCTAAAGCAATTGAATACACAACTTTTCTTGAGTAAATTCAACTTTAGGACACTAGAGTTCACCCAACATCCAAAACCCCAATGTCTTGGCTGAGTCAAAAGTTCTTCTGATTCTTGGTTAGATAAATAATAAAGAATAATTTTATTTTTAAACTCAGTTTCTCCACCAGCTGGAACTCTTTCCATCACACAATCCCAACAGACATTTCCTCCTCCTGGGTGCTGTAATGGATGGCTATGGCATTACTGGGGTTTGAACTTACTGTCAGGGTGATGACTTAGTCAACTGCACCACTCGGGAAGAAAAAAGAACATGGTTCTATATAGACACTCAAAGAACGATTTGCATGCTTAAAGGGTTCTGTGTATCATCAAAGTGTTTTTAAGAAGCTTGATATTGTAACAATAGAAGAACCCGTCTTGGTGCTATATAGAACTCTTTTCAAAAAGATTTTATATACAACTGTCTGCAGCACATTCTGAAGAACCCTTTCATGATACAAAGAACCTGATAATCATGCGAACGGTTCTTTCAGTGTCCATTGTTCTACATAGAAGCATTTTCTTTCCTAAAGAGCCCTTGGAAAACCGTCTTTTAAGAGTATAGCACATGTGGTGCAACTGTGTAATAATTTATCCCAAAATCAGGAGACTGTGAGCTTGAAGCCCAGCAAGGCCAGAGCTGTCTATACCTGGAAGCCCAAAATAAGAAAATGTCTGGGATTGTGGGATAGAAAGAGTCCCAGCTCTGAGTAGAAAATGCAGGTTCTTCTTTGTTTACTTTATTGAGATGCAGAACTAGAAAAGGCAGTTGGAAGAACTTTTGACTCAACTAAGAAGTTTGGTTTGAGTGAACTTTTTTTTACAGTGTATCCGACTGATAATAACAATTAATTTTTTTCATTTATGGGTGGAAAAAATATTGAACATGGGTATACTGTGCACCCCTAGTGCTAATGTTGGCTTTGTGAATTCTTGAGATCTGTTAGTAGAAAGTCTGTTAAACAGTGTTGACTAGTAAAGATAAGCTCTCTCTGTGCTCTGCGGTTTAGCAAACACTTCAGCTTGGTCAAAGAGGTGCAGTTTGTTATGTGCAATTTGAAGTTATTTTCAAATAAAAATAAATTTAATGATCCGGCTGAAAGTATGTGGACACCCCTACTATTTACTGAGTGTAAGTGTTACAGCCACATGCTTTGCTAACATGTGCATAAAACGAAGCACATAGCCATGGTCAAACGCTGGCAGTAAAATGGATTGTACAGAAGAGATCAGTGACTTTAAATGTAACAGTGTCTTAAAATGCCATCTTTGCCACGAGTTACTTCATTAAATTTCTGCCCTGCTAGATCTGCCCTGGTCAACCGTAAGTGAAATGTGAGTTGTGAAATGGAAACAACAACATCAGCTCAGCCACGAAGGGGTAAACCACGCAAATGCACAGAGGGGGCCGTCAAGTGCTGATATGCATATGGCGTAAAAATCGCCTGTCTTCTTTTGCATCAGAGTTCCAAAGAGAGTTTCAAACAGCCTTTGGAAGGCACACAAACTGTGTGTCGAGAGCTTCATGAAATGGTTTTCCATGGCTGAGCAGCTGCACACAAGCTTAATAGCACTATGTGCATTGCCAAGCATCAACCGGAGTGGTGTAAAGCACATTGTCACTGGACTCTGAAGCTGTGCAAACATGTTTGCTGGAGTGCTGAATTGCTCTTCACTAACTGGCAGTCTGGTGGATGAATCTGGGTTTCAGATTCAGTTTTAGGATGCCAGGAGAACGCCACCTACCAGAATGCTCAGTGCCAACAGTAAAGTTTGGTGGAGGAGGTCTAGAGTTGTTTTTCAGGGTTTGGGCTCGGCCCTTTGTTCCAATGAAGGGGCATTTTAGACATTTATTTGCTTCCAACTTTGTGGAGACAGTTGACTGTGCTCCTGTGCCCAACCCAGGTCCATAAAGACATGGTTTAACAAATTTGACATGGGGGAAATCTTGTGACCTGCACAGAGCCTTGAACTCAACCCCATTGAACACTTTTGTTATAAATCGGAAAGCGGATTACAAGCCAGGCCTTCTCATCCAAAGTCAGTGCTTGACCTCACAAATGCTGTGTGGAGTGTGTTTGCGGGCACAAATTCCCACAAACATATTTCAAAATCTTGTGGAGTCTGAATCTTGTGTTTTAGCTGCAAAAGGGGGCCAACTGGTAGTGCTCGTTGTTTTAGAAATGGGATGTCCAACAAGCTCATATAAGTATGATGGTCAATGTGATGTGTCTACATACTTTTGGCCACATAGTGTAGATCTTCAAGTCTTATTATTACCAATAATTGCACGTCCATTCTCCATCTGTGAATTCATACTCATACTTATTCATTGACTTCTCATCTCACATGTGCTTGTTCTCTGATTCGCAGACCCCCCTGTGGTGGACCCGGTCTTTCAGGATGTCCGCTCTCCAAACAATCAGCCCGTCATCCTCCGCTGCGTGGTTCTGAAGTCCAATCCCAACCGCATAGCCAGCGCCCGCTGGTATCGGAACACCATTCCCATCCGGACCCCTCCCGTGGACACCCAGGACGTGCCCCAGCTCCGCTTCAAACTGGACCTCACCAATAATGGCACGTATGAGTGTAAAGTTAGCAATGGGGTTGGGACCTCTACCTGCACCTTCGTTGTCTCAGGTGAGTGGCTCTGACATGTAGATAATTAGAATGTGCAGCACTTTGACCATCAAAGTCAAGCCCAGAGCAGGATGGACTATATCACTGACTACAATCAAATACAAAGCAAAAACACAATTCAGCTGTGTGAGAAAAAGTTTGTCAGCCCTTTGGAATCTCCTGGCTTTCACCATGAATTGCTCCTAAGGTGTGATTTGGTCTTTATTTAAGGCATTAGTGTAACATTTCCACCACCATATCTTTGTCTCTGCTTTATACAAGGGTTTTTCTTTCAGATGGAGGAGGTTTTCATGTTAGCCTTCTATTCCGGGACATCTGACCAGAACGACCACTGTGTGTTTTTTTGAGTATATCCTAAGAGGAGCACTGAAAAGGCACCAATCAAGGATGTAGCTTATATTAGCAAACCAAAACTCAACAACAAAGTTGCCTTATCTGAAGAACCTAAAGCATTTCACAATGACAAAGTCCTGACTTCAGTACCACTGCAATGTTGTGGCTCTATCTGAAGCAGCTGATTTGCACAAGATCTCCCAAACAGACGCATGAACTGAGACAGTTTTGTATAGATACAGTACCATAAAAATGCATGCCCCTCCTGATTTCCTCTATTATTGCACGTGTCATAGTGCATGCTTTTAGATCTTAAAAGCGTGTAATATTAGACATTAGTTATACATGGAAAATGTAATTTTTATGTTGCTGTTTGTTCTATAAAGTTTTACTTGTGCAGTATTGGATAAAAGCATTTACTGTGATAAATATGCAATAATAGAGAAAATCAGGAAGGGTGCAGATATGTTTTGATGGGACTGTAAATAAGTCCAAACACTTCCTAAACACTTCTCAGGACTGATCAGCAGCTCTACAAAGCTTTTTCTAAGCTTCCACTAATTACTATATATAAGGATTCATACATGCTTTGTCCATCAGTGACCTTGAGTGTAAATCATATCTTCAGTAAAAGGAAGGTGCTGTTGTTTGTCAACCCCTGGAAGAACTTTATTTCTAGAGCACTTTTCATACAGAATGCAGCTCAAAGTGCTTTACAATCAAAAGCTGAAACATAAAAAGAGCAGAATAAAAATAAAATAAAATAAGATAAAATAGAAAGCTGAATGCAATACTATAGTGTTTTAAATAAAGGCTAAAGTAGAAAAAAAAGTTTTTTTTTTTTTTTTTAAATGTGCGCTTGACTGCCTTATTGTAAGAGCTAATTAATTCCACTGTTTAGAAACTTTTTTTATTTTTTTAATTACAGAAAGGGGCCTCTCTGTGTTTTCTATACTTCGGAGAACACAGCAGATTCTGGCCTTCAACTAAACTTCAACTAAAGTTGCTAAAAAGTTTCACCATAAAAAGCCTTGGGTGATAGAATTCAACCTTAATAGCATTATTTAAATGATGGATCAAACCAAGATGAGAATCTAAAATGACATCTAGGTTTCGTACGTCTGATGTTACATTTGATTCAAAGGTGCCTAATTTCTTACGAATCAGTTTTCACTGAGAATCAGTATCTCAGTTTTGTCCTGATTAAGCTGCAGACAGTTTTGACATCTATTTAGAGATGTCTGACATGCAATTTATTAGCCTGTCGACGGAGTCTTGACTTTCAGAAATGTGTATTTGTATATTATTAGCAAAAATTTACTTCATGCTTTCTGACCACATTTGTTGTTTTCACAACTTTGTGGTGTTGCCAGAGAATAACATGGGAAGTGTAGCACTTTAAGCAAATGCTCTTTTATTAACATTCAGCAGTAGATGAGGAAACCTGCAGCTGCTGAAACGGCCAAGAGAGCAGGCAGGTCACTTCTAGCCATACACATTCACCCTACAGTGGGCACTAACACTGCTTAATCTACTCCACAGCCCAGCACAGAGTAGCACAAGTAATACATGTATATATCTTTAAGTTAACAATAACAACTTATTTACCACATTTAAAGTCTCCTCACCTTCCATGACCCTGTGCGTGTGGTCACTCTGCAGGGCCACGCCTCTTACGTGTCTATGACGGTGTGAGCCAGTAGTGGGACGCTACAGCTTACAGCTATACGGGAATTCTAATAGTTTCCCCATGAACTTTGACCGATTAACATCAGTAATTCTGCCATGTTCAGATTTCTCACTTTCTGTTTTATTAGACTTGATAGCCTGTTTTATGCTCAAACCGTGGGTGGTGGCAAACAGATTTATGTGAAATGTTGGCACGCTGTACACTGACAAAACAAAACAGATATTGACACACATGAGAAACGAGCCAAGCCTTCATAGCATCACTTACCAGAATTGGAAAAAGGTGGTATGCTGTAATAATCGGATTGTTATTAGATCACTCACACTCTCAGCAGTCTTTTTCTGACTGCTTTGATTGTGTTTGTACTTGTAATTAACTGTGTAAGAGAGACTGTTCAGCTGTTTACCTTTCAAATGAAGTAGAAATACATTTCCAAATCTGTATGAAGTAACTAATATGATTATGAGAGGAATATATCACAGTAAAGAAAATCAAAACTGGATGAATTTCTGTTGCTGCTTAATTTGATTTCAGTAGTAGAAATGTTCATAGGGTTTATACCAGGAAAGCCTGGAAAGTCATGGAAAATAAATGTACCATAATTCACTGAATTGGCTGTACCAACAAGGTGATTGGTTCTTTTTATTGAAGGGCAAGACCTTCCCCCATAAACAGACACCGTGTTGAGCACTGCAAGCTTTTCTATTCATTTTCCAACCTATGAACTGTCTCCTCCTCCTTTATAATCTTCTTTATCATGACAATTACTGGTAACATTTCTCCATTTGTTTCAGTGAGCTATAAGTGAGAAATAATTCATATCAAATCAAATGCTTATCAACAACAATAACAGAAACTTCCAAGGTTTCAACTTTTACTGAAAATATTATGACTTGCATTACCATTGGGTCAAATTTTAGAAGCTGGTCATGCAGAAATCCAGCTAATTCCAAAGGGTTTACAAACTGTTCTTCGCAACTGTATTTGCATTAGTGTTTGTGTTATGTTCAAAGTAATGTAGTTATATTCAGAGATATCAAGCTTTTACGCCACAGACTCTCAATGATTCGTCTCTCAGCTGTGGGAAATTGCCTGGGCTCTTTCTAGATTTGACAGCTTTGCTCTTTCCACGGAGAGCTTATCTCTGGCTTGGTTGTGGTGAGACATATCCCCAACATGGCAGCTAAAGCGTGCTAATGCTATCAGCTAGTTCCATCACTGCACCGAGCGCAACTACAGCTGTTCGCTTAAGAGGACTCAGGGCGATCGCTTTCCGGCTGTGCAGATTGCAATCCGTAACCTCTTTTTTTTCACCTCGAAACTGATGCAAAACAGATTGTTTTTGCTGTTGAAGACAGCTTCTTTGATGAGTTTCCTCTAAAGAATAAATTGCTCAGTGACCGGGCGTCTGAATGGACAAGGCACTGAAATAAGCTCAGATTAGTTTTTAGAGACTGTTGAGAATGGCTGTGTTGCATGTGAACAGCTTTCAGAGCACTGTTGGCCAGAAGAGATAGAGAGGCACTGGTTTAATACTGCTTGCAATATAACAAAGCAGAGCATGACCTATATTATAACATCTGCCATCTGCCATACATGCATACATTTGATTTAGAGATATTTTCATTTCATTATTTCATTTCAATATACAAAAGTGATTTCACATGATAGTCACATATTTAGATATTGATTCTAGCTGTTCTACTGTATACTGTGTTGGTTTCTGTTTGTGTTGTTGTGCTAATTATTTTCAGCCTTTTCTTGCTATTGCTTCTGTCCAGCATTATTGGAAAAGAAGACATAGACACCAAATGGTCAGCTTTTTTCCAGCTAGTACTTATGCATTATAAATGGGAAGATTTAACAAATGGTAGTCTGTAGTTTCAATATCATCTAAAGGCACACTAGTCATACTGATAAATGAAAGGATGCACTCTTAGAAAAAGCATTTTTTTTTTTGCTTGTTATTTTTTCTTTGGTCTTCTAGTGGGTCTTCAGACACCACCTCTAAAAACATGGGGTGCACTGCATTTCATGCCTAAAAAGAAGCAGAATGTGGGTTAACATGTCTGATGACAAGTAGGTAAACATGAGTGAGAACAAAGATGAATGATAAACATTTTGAAACTGACATACAGTCTTGTGCAGAAGCCACAAACCACTCATCAATTTATTTAATTTTCAGACAAAATGGCCATTGAGTACCATTTATTCTGCTGGTGGAATGTTTCTCAGAACTGGCCACCCCAGAGCTGAAGAATCCAAACCTCGTCCGAAACCAGGGAACTAGCCGTAATTTCTGGAGAATTGAAGTTTATTTCTTGCGTGCGGGTAACAAACACCTAGCCAGCCCGTAAAACAATGGACTGATGCAGTTTTATAGCTGGACTGATGCCAAGATTAGGCCCAGCCAATACATGACAAGTAACAAATGTGACAGACATGACCATGTAGGGATAAACAAAAATAGGCAGAACAGAATATTCTAAATACAATCACAGTACAGGCACACACAATACTGAATACAATGACATATAACACAGCATTCAACGCCTTACACAGCAGTACATTCTTTCAGAGCCCAGACCTCAGCATCACTGAATGTGTTTGGGTCTACATGGGTTGTGAAAAGTGAGAAAAGCAGCAGTTGGTACAGTGTATTGGATAACACCTCTGCCTTCTACACTACAAACTGGGGTTCAAGCACCCTGCACTATGCCAATAAGAGTCCTTGGGCAAGACTCCAAACACCCCCTTGTAAGTCGTAAGTCACTCTGGAAAAGAGTGTCTACCAAATGCTGTAAATGAAATTCAACCAACTTCTAAGACTGAACTTTGGAGGTGTGGAAAAATATCCTTGCAGATTTCTTTTAAACCTGAAAGCAAGTCTACTGAAAAGAATAGAAGCTGTAATAAAGACAAAGAGTAGACGCACTTAATACTGAAAAATATTGATGTTATATTTAGTTGACGCTTCCATGTAATTTTTCTGTTTGATATATGTGTTCTCTGCACATTTTTCCCCAAGCTGAAAAATGAATAAATTGCTTTTAACGGTTATTTTGACTGAAAAGTAAAGCCTTGACTGAACACCTCTAACGGAGGTTTTTAAGAGAGAATGGCTGAAATTACCTGTAATTCACATATGAAAAATTGTTAATTGTACTTATATTCTGATATTATAGCAAAAGCAGAAAGTACAACGTGATGTTGCCTTAAACTGCATCTGTAAAGCCATACTACTTAGTGAAAGTGACTCTGAGAGACTAATATACAAATCTTTAGATCGTAACGGAGATATAATAATAATAATAATAACTATATATATATATATATATATATATATATATATATATTAAAAAAATATAATTTGAAATGAATGGCTGTCTCTAAAATTCAGTATTTTGACATTTTCTCATAAGGTGAAATTTTTACGTAAAATGTGTCCAACTTCCTAGCAGCTGCTACAAAAGAATGCATTGGTGGGCTGAGCAGGCATAGGTCAGCTGATCTGATTTTGAACTCAACTAGATTCTGGGCAATTAGATAGGTAAAGATCTATAGGTAAAGCATATATCCAAAAGTACTGAGACAGCCCTTCTAATTAGTGAATTCAGCTACTTTAAGATGCACCCATTACTGATACAGGCATTCAGTTGCACACACAGCTTATACATTCTCAAAAGAAAAGCATTGCCAATAGAATGGGATGCTCTGGAGCAGCACACAGGCCTAAGGTCACCAGACCCATCATCAGCTAGAGGGGTATAAAGCCGCCCAGCATTGGGCTGTCGAGCAGTGGAACTGCGTTCTCTGGAGTGATGGAGCTCCATCCAAAACCTTTGGGATGAGTTGGACTGGCTGAGATTCAGAACTATTCATCCAGCATTGAAACCTGACCTCATGCTCTTGTGGTTGAATGCAATCAAATCCTCACAATAATATTCCAACATCTAGTGTAAGGCCTTTTCAAAAGAGTAGAGGCTGTCACTGCTGCAAAGTACAGGGAAAGTGCCTGTTAATATCCTTGATTTCAAAAGAAACATTGAACCTGGATGAGCATTTGTCTACAAACTTTTGGACAGTTTAGTGCATCTCTTCAGTTCTCGGATTGAATTTCCAGATAAAGGTCATTCTAACTTGACATCTTTTTTTCCTTTCAGCTCGACCCTACAGTGCAGAATTCTACTTTGACACGCCGAACCCCATTCGCATTCTCAAGGGCAATAACTACTCCTACAACCTGCAGTGGACACAGAAAGAGCCCACCGCTGTGGACAGAATCATAGGCTACTGGATCAATGTCCAACAGGTACCATACAGACGCTCACATTCACATGAATACAGCCGATGCTATGGTCACTTGAAAGTGAGTCTCAAACACACATACACATTAATTCTTTCCTGCAGCAGACCTATTGGCTGGTCAAGTGACATATTGGAAATGAAAGTCTGCTTATACTCTTTTCTTTTTCTTTCTTTCTTTATTTGGTTCTTTCTTTCTTTCTGAGTATTGAGTGTCGGTGTGAGTGAGTAAGTAGCCTGAATAAATGTTTGTGTTTATAATAGCAGTCGGGGGAATAGAGGGGCTGTGTGAGAGCAGACGGCTGATCGATTAGAGCTTGTACCGCATTAACAACACTCAGAACACACCCCTCAAAGGACAGACACCACACACACACACACACACACACACACACACACACACACACACACACACAGCTAAATCAGTCTGAGTGTGGCTGCTAATTTCCATCCACCTGTCTTTTCTCATAAATCCCATTTCACTCTTTTATTTTCTCACTTCTCTCTATTTCTGGAATCTTCTATCACGTATTTTCCTTTTCCTTCTTTATCCCACACTCCTCCTCACTTGTGAGAAGAGTAGACATATGATAATCCAGTTGCATAAAGAAGGGGAAAGTCAAAGGAAATAAACAAAAACAAAAAACAAAAACAAAAAACAACGAACTGTAGTTCAAAATTATTAAAAGCTACGGAGAAAACAGGACTCCCAACAACCATGCAAGTGATGGTAGACCACAAAAACTGTCCCCAACAGTAATTAGATCTTTCATCTTTGAGAGAGAGGAGAAAATCAAGCTGCTTCAGATCTGAAAAAAATCCACAGGTGTTACAAGGTTTGTTTTGAGCGTAATTTGTTTAGCAGCGTAATGTAATTATATTACATTATTTAGCTGACAAGCACATCCAGAGTGGCAATAGTAGGCAAAAGTAGTGTTAGGAGTCTTGCCCAAGAACTTTTATGCACTGCTGTTGGACCAGTAAAAGTAATTCCACTTTCTCATTTGACTGGTGAATAATATATCAGCCTCTGATTTATCATGAAGCCCTAACAATAATACTGAATCAGGGCAGCAGGGACCATTATTACTATTATAATGCAGTGCACTCATGCAAACCAGTCTCACCGGCTTTCGTTCAGTGTTAGTCACACATTTTTGAAGGCAGTTTTTTCCCCATGCAGTACTGTCTAAACATGACTTTATTCTTGATCCTGTGGACATTATATCTTATATAAAACCAGAAATGTGAGCATACTTTAGGAAATTTAATGTTATTCTGAAATTAATCAATAATCCTCTATGGAAGATTAGATCAGTAATCCACCATTGCAGATTATAGTCCTAAAATAGAGAGCAGTGGATTAGTGGTTAAGAGTAGCATGTAGGTAAAGATAAAGTGAATTCTAGGTGCTTCTAAAAGATCTATATTCTGGCCTCCTGCCAATCATTCTAACCCTGAACAACTCATTTTCAGTCACTTTTCCTATTGTACTAATAAGCTGGTAGATATAAAAAACAACCACTGCTACACTGTTAGAAATAAAGGTTCTGTGCAGGTATATTTTCTGTGCATCAAGGTACAAACAATGTACATTGTACTCAAAGGTACAACAGTGGTTTTAAGGTAAAATTGTGCACCTTAAATAAGCTTTTCCCAGGTTAAAAGTATGTATTTGTATCTTTTCATAACCAAATGTTTAAAACAGAACAATAAAATAAAAAGCCTAGAGACGAGACGGGGTGTGTGGAGTCAATTATGGTACAGTTATGTTCCCTGACTAAAGGCACTGAGATGTACCCTTGAGGGGCCCACCCCAGTGAAAGGAGGGGTACTGCCCCAGTGACAGTTTCATACAGTTTATTTCTGGGAGTGTTTATGAGATGGAAAAACATTATGTTAGTGTGCATTAATGTAACAAAGGTTTGATATGAGGTTTAACAGTGATGGTCATACATCGATACCTTCATCAAAAACAATGGTTTCATAATTTGTGAAATCAGGCATCTGGTAGCCTCAAAGGGGAATTCCACTAATTTTACACAATTTCTATATAATTAAATCATCAAAATGTAAACTTAGTCCATCAGAGTGATTTGATATTCAGTGCTGCATTTTAGAGCTTGTTGGCTCAAATGTCTTTACAGTGGTGGTGATGGGAACCAGGGGTCACAATGTCCACAGCGCTTATATAAATATTTTATTCACTATCCAAAATGACCAGTGAACCTACACGTGTCTTCTGAGTTTTATATCTAATGTTGATAGTAAAATGTTAATATCTAATGTTAAATAGTAAAAATCTGAGAAGGCTTTTTTTAGGAAATTGTTTTATATTACAACCACAGCATGTACTCTCCCCCGTGAATATTTTTTTAAAACGATGCCTCAGCCATCAAACATATTCCTAACCATCTCATGTAATAACTTTCTGTGAGGGAGCTTTTAGAGGCATACAGTTTCTCAGACATCTGGTTCCTTTACCACCACTGTGAACAGTTCTACGGAGTCATGCTGGTGACATCCTATATAAATAAAAATAATGCATGGCCATGCCTTATTAACACGTAGGAACGGGATCCTAATGTGTGGCCATGACTTAGTAAGGCATGGGCATGGGATAATTAAGTTGTGGCCACAACTTAGTAAGGCGTGGGCACAAGATCATTCCCTTCTAAGTTGTAGCCATGCATTAGGATCTTGTTCCCACACCTTAATAAGTCAAGGCCACGACTTAATTATTTTGTTCTCATGCTGTACTAAGTCGTGGGAACAAGATTGTGCCTTCCTAAGTTGTGGCCACACATTAGAATCTAGTTCCCCCACCTTACTAAGTCATGGCCACTCATTAGAATCTCATTCCCCTGCCTTACCAAGTCATGGTCACGCATTAGAATCTCGTTCCCACACTTTACTAAGTCGTGGCCATGGCTTAATTATCTTGTTCCCATGCCTTATTAAGTCATAGGAACAATATTGTGGCTTACTAAGTTGTGACCATGCATTAGGATCTACTTCCCCCGTCTTACTAAGTCATGACAACGCATTAGGATCTCGTTCCCACACTTTACTAAGCCGTGGCCACAACTTATCTTGTTTCCATGCCTTACTAAGTCAGGCCATGCTTTATTTTTATTTATGCAGGATGTCACCACCGGGGCTCCGTACAGTTCTGACTCTGACCACTCTCACAAAACTCAAACCACTTTGAATGACTTTGTTTGCATTTTACTGTTTGAATTATTCAGAAATTTTGAATTCCAATTTAAGGACTGCTGAACTTTTTCTGTGTTCTTGGTTATTATTGTGTTACATGGTGGCTTCGTTGTTACTATCCAAGACCACTCTGCCAGAAAAAATATGCTAATAAAGTGCTAACACTGTAACTGTGGAGATTTTTTCGGCACTGTAGAAATTCACACACACAAAAACACACATGCACGCACATTCTTTCTCTCTCTCACTCTGTCTCTGTCAGCAGAAACGCAGTGATGTGGACTCAGGCTTAAATCGGCTTGCTTTATTCCGTTTTGTATTTTTTTCCGATGTTTTCGCTGTTTACTGGGGCATCCGCAAAAAAAAAGGGCAAAAGCAAACGCTCTCTAAATGTCTAGAGGATGCCGACTCACGCCTGGCACACGAGTACCCAGGTGCACGCTGCTGGCACAGCAAAACACCTTCTCTGCTGGTGGCAGGAGAGTGTGTATGTGTGTGTTTTGTGGCTCTGTTGAATTTCTACTCCAACATTCTAATCATCTATTCATAAGAAGCTGGCCCAGAGCAGAATGGAGGAAGAGAGTGATGAATTATGGAGAGTGGCAGGGTTTTAAAGGGAGAGAAGAGGAGATTAGCCACTTGTCTTTGTGTGCATGAATAGCTAATCTTCTCCGCTTTAAAAATCTACCTTAAGTAAGAGCCTATAGGGAGCAGAGAATTAACATCCTAAAGCTGTTAAGTCATGGGCCGTCAGCTTTAAAGACAGCGTGTGTGCGGATGGGTGGGTGGGAGTGTCTGTATGTGTGTGAGTGTGTGTGGTGTTTGTTTTCAGAACAGCAAAGTCCAGAAACCAGAGAACAGCAGGGTGAAAGAACAGGGTCAGTGCTGACATTGTGAAGTGCTTTTCAGAGCATATCAGAAAACGTTTTTGTCCATTTCATTTCCGTAATTTCTTTGGCACTCGCGCATAAAACATCACACACAATGCAACACATATAAAAGCTCCATGTTTCATTGTTGAAAGATGAAAAACTATTTTTTTTTGTTATTGAGGTTAGGGTTAGGGTTAATTTTAGAACACTGATTACATATACAGTCATACGCAAAAGTTTGGGTGCCCATAGTCAAATTACATGTTTTGTTGATTTTGTGTAGTTATGTTATAACTGAAGTTTGAGGGGAGGAACATGCCTGAAACCCCTCCTTCTTCCAGTAGAATGCCCTATAAATTTACATCCTCACCTTCCGTTCCCATGATGAAGGTTTCGCAATCCCCACCGCCACCCCATCTCCTCCCTGTTCCTCAGTCCTACATCAGTCCAAATACAGCTGTGAGGAGTGGGTCTGCCCTTTTAGCTACAGGCAGAAGCTGATCAGAACTCCAGCCAAAGTTCTCAGAGTTCTCCATCCTCCCTCAATCAGTCTTCCCTCATACTACCACCATGTGGAAGGCATGGTCTGTGCTCACAAACTAAGTGACGCATCCTCTAGTGAGGTAGGTAATAACCAGTTCTATTTACTCAAGTACATGTACTTAAGTAATACATTGATGGACTTTAGAGCTTTAGCATTTTATTTTAGACCATTAGAGTCCCAAACAGAAAAGAAGAGAGCATAACAAAGTTGATAGATGATGGATTTACTAAGACGTTCCACTCCAGAACATGATTGTTTTTGGGAAGCTACTTTTACTTTTACTTGAGTTGTAATTTTACAGAAGTATTAATAATTTTTTTGTTAAGTATTAATATTTATTCATATATTGTTTAATGCACAGTTACCGTCTATTTG